AGGGAGGATGGACTGTCATACCCGTGATGTGTCTGTGAGCGAGGGAGGGAGAAAAAGGAAAAGTACGAGCTGTCATCGAGCAGAAACGGGAGCTGGAAGCATGTAAATATAATAATAACCACTGCAGCCTGACGAGCCCAGCTGTAAGTAAGCTTTAAGACTCGACTGTACCGTGTTCGTGTTTTCCTCGAAACAATAAGTTGTTGAGCAGCCTTTCAACGCCTCTCTCTGTCTCTCGCTAGCAAAGTTGACCCAGACAACAAAGTAAAGCTAGTTTTCAGCTACGAGCCCGACACGAACCCGACGTATCAGCCAGAGGTCCCTTTACTACGGTTCGGAGCCGCGGACCTGTTTTATATACGCGCGGAATAGTTTTCTATACGAGATCCTGCAAAAAGTGCAGCCTTACCTAATGTCCACCTACTGTTACTCATTTATATTAAGATTTAAACATCTAGTTGGTGTTGGTGTGGAGAGTAACCTGTCATAGTAATAAATCACACAGCAATAGTACATTCATGTAGTTGTAAAAAGCATGATAATATATTAAGTAATCCAAAGTATTCAGAATACTTACTCTCATTGAGTAACGTAACGGAATACGTTACAAAATACATTTTGGGGCATGTAATCTGTAATCTGTAGTAAGTACAATAGGGCTGTGCGATATGACCAAAATCTCATATCCCGATATAAGACATCTATCGTCCCGATAACGATATAAATCACAAAAATGTAACATTTTCTGTAAATCTGTGAATCTCGGGCAGCTCGACTTGCGTGAAGTGTTTCCAGCTGCGCGTCGTGTAGCTGGAGTCGAGTGTTTTAACCGATGCATGAAACGATACATTTTTAGACATAAGTTGTAACGGCGCCGTTTTCTTTGTGAGTATTTATTACACGGCGTGCTGCGGGGAAAAGCCTGCTCTAACGTTTGAGTCTAAGGTTTATTTTTTAGCACCTGGCGGCTCTTTTTTACTTCTCATCCGTAAATAATCTGCATCTTTCACGTGATTCGGTTTATTTTGAAAAGTCTCAACAGGATCTTGAGCTTTATTGTGAAAGGTTTATGTGGAACATAAACATGCGGACACACGATGGTGTTACCGTCGTGGTTGCTAACGACAACGCATAAAAACAGGCTCTTGTCCATCTGTAGTGTGGTTTTATTAAATATAAGAGAAAGAGAGAACTTTAAGAAATTAATAATAACCACAGTGACATCAAAACATGAACAAATGTTGCCGTAAACAGTTTATTTTGCGACACCACGAAACAAACAATGTGTGAAAAAGCTGAAGCGTAAAATGAAACGATAGACGTTTTTATATCGTCATCCGATATATATCGTTATATGGAACAGCCCTACAGTATAACATTTCATTTATGCAAATCATTGCATTTTGTTTTTATTGACATTTTAAACAGCACTGGCTTTGCATCATGGGGGGGGCAGAGCCTTTTTTGTGGATTCCCATGATCCACTCCTATGGGTTTCTTTTTACTGGTATTTTTATAGTGCCTATCAACTCTTAGCTTGCATGCTTCACTACAAGCCTCATTAGTGCCTTCTATGAAGCAGTCATGAAGCCATTCAGTTCTTAAGTTGTTATTTATTTAAGAACTTTCTATCTCTAATGGATGCATTGGGGTTCGGTATTTTGCCCAAGGACTTTTTGACATAATGACAGTAAGAGCTGACCTCCGACCTCCAAGCCACATATTTCCATCGTTCCTCTTCATTTTGTATTCTGTTGCTGGGCTAACACACAGAGGCAAACACCATTCACACTGGTTGTCAAATGGTGCTATATAAAAAAACTGAAGTGAACTAGAGGTTAAGTCAGTGGTTCCCAAACCTTTTTTGCTAGGCCCCCTTTTGTTTTACAAGAAAAATGTTCTTGTGCAGGTGAAGCCAAAGGGAAGATTTGCTTCATCATATTTTCTAGTCTTTGGCTTGGAAGGAAGTTGGTTTGGAAACATATTTGGCGATGCTTCATCTCCTGCTTTGCGTTTGTGTGGGAGCCCCGTCAAAAACCTGTCCATGATGCTAGCAGTGTCCAAGCATTTTACACAACCTAATGCGTTGTTTTAATTTTCATACCGTGTCCCCCCTGCAATGGCTCTGCGCCCACCCTAGGGGGCGGGCCCCACACTTTGGGAACCTCTGGGTTAAGCGATTAAATGATCATTTAAATGTAGGCAATGCTGTTACATAAAGTGAGTTTTCATGTTTATTTTGGAACAGTAATAAGATCCTCTCAGCTCAGAAAACCAAATTAAGAAATCTATCAAAACAGATCACCATTTGCTGACAGTGGCAGCAGAGCACATCTGTCAAATCTGCAGGGAAACATGACTGCATCTCGTAGCTTCCTGTAACTTCACTGTGGGGAGTATTTTACAAGCCCATACTCATGTTTAGCAGAGGAAACAACGAAACATTTCCCCCAGCCACACTAACTGTGGCTGTGATATCCTTAAATACAGAAGAGATCTCTGCTAAATGCAAGGAGAAGCAGCCCTCAGGCAACCACAGCTATGTAGTTTGGGAAATATTACATGAAGATTATACTAAATTTCTCAGACTGCAGGAGGAAGAACCTGTTACATAAGCAGGGAGCTGACTGGCTAATTCATATAAAAGTTTTTTTAACGTTATACTGATGATCATCTTGAAGATATAATTATAAGCCTTCTGGAAGGAAGAGAGTGACGTTATTAAGCTCACATAACTTCAGTTAGGTTCTTTTAGTTATTTCAGTCTGACAGCTCTATTTTGGTTTGGTACAGTTAGTTTAATACACATTTATGTACATGATCATTAGAAGTCAAAGCAAGCATCAGGCTGCAGGAACTCTTGTTTTTTTTATCTATGGGGTGGAAAAGTGACATCTTATAAGCGGCCACCTCAGCTAGGCTTATGCACTTGAATTGTGAGAGGTAAGAAAACAGAATTCAGTTTACTGAATCTGCAGTCTACTGACATCTAGTGGTGACATTTTACGCACTGTAAATTTAAGAATCTCTGGATCTTATTCACGAGTGATGAGAAGCTAGTAGAGAGGTGCTGCATCAGCACGTGTAGCGTTCAGATAGCTGCTCTGCTCTGTGTTGGTACAGGGCATTGAAGATGATAACAGTGGGTGGATTATATTCTTAAACTTAGTTACAGCCTTTCAGAAAGACATCTACTTTGATAAAGTCTACTCTCCACCGCTGTGTAATCAATTATTGTAAATGTAAATGTTATCAGGAAATGATCAGACAGGAGAGGGTTTTCAGGAAACACTGTTAAATGTTCAGTTTCTATGCCATATGTTAAAACAAGATCTAGAGTGTGATTAAAGTGGTGGGTGGGTTCTTTTACATTTTGAGAGAAGCCAATTGAGTCTAATAACAGATTAAATGCCATGTTGAGGCTGTCATTTTTAGCATCTACATGGATGTTAAAATCACCCACAATAATTATTTTATCTGAGCTCAGAACTAAATCAGATATAAAGTCTGAGAAATCAGACAGAAACTCTGTGTAAGGCCCAGGTGGACGATAGATGATAACAAGTAAGACTGGTTTCTGAGTTTCACAGCTGGGGTGGACGAGGCTAAGCATCAGGCTTTCAAATGAATTAAAAGTCTGTCTGGTCTTTCATTAATTAATAGGCTGGTGTGAAAAATTGCTGCCACACCGCCCCCTCGGCCTGTGCTTCGAACACGAAGTTCACTTTTGTTGCTTATGGTCATTATAAGAGGCAGACAGTCAGGGCCGTGCAGAGAGGTTTAAAGGGGCGGGTGCTCAAAGTTAAAAAGGGGCACATTGAACCAGGCTGAATAACAACAACACACATTCATCAAGAATCTAATATGGGCAACAAGGCAAAGCAAACGTCGCCGATGTTTTACCTGAGCGTGCTTTGTCAGTGTCACAGTCAGAGCCACCCCTTAGTCATTATATCTGCTGTCAAAACACCGAGACGGCTGATAACGCTCAGGTCAAGGCTTTAAAAACAGGTCTTCACTGACCAGCAGGTAAAATCATGGTGCCTACTTGCATCTTCTAAAATACTCATGAGGCCATAGATCATCTATTATACTGAGCTCTAGGTAGAAACAGAATGTGGCAGAGGCTGAAAAACTGGGCTCAGCCTCAGACGTTAAACGAGGAGCTCAAACACGCACAGGGAACTTGGACGTGAGAGTCATTTAACACACAGAATCTGCTGTAACTACACAACAAACAGGCATGGTTAAACTCAGTTCAAGGTACTTTTGTCTACTTTCAGATTTCCCCTTATTTTGCCTGTATATTGAAGGTAGCCATGAGATTCTATAAAATGGCCTAAACACTCACTGCAGAGCAAATACATGTTTTGATACGACGGTTTTGTGTGCTGAAACTCCAGTGTGAAATCCAAAAGGCTGCCTGCCCAGAAATGGGATGGGTCTACTAAGAACAAGGGTGTCCAACTCCAGGCCTCGAGGGCCGGTGTCCTGCAGGTTTTAAATCTCACCCTGGGTCAACACACCTGAATCAAATGATTAGTTCATTACCAGGCCTCTGGAGAACTTCAAGACATGTTGAGGAGGTATTTAGCCATTTAAATCAGCTGTGTTGGATCAAGGACACATCTAAAACCTGCAGGACACCGGCCTCGAGGCCTGGAGTTGGACACCTTCTTAGTAGACCCATCCCATTTCTGGCAGGCAGTTTTGGATTGTCCTTGATCCAACACAGCTGATTTAAATGGCTAAATACCTCCTCAACATGTCTTGAAGTTCTCCAGAGGCCTGGTAATGAACTAATCTTTTGACTCAGGAGTGCTGACCCAGGGTGAGATTTAAAACCTGCAGGACACCGGCCCTCGAGGCCTGGAGTTGGACACCCCTGACTTAGACCCTTCATAACTGCTTGTTCTTCTTATCTAGGGGAATTTTGCATTCAGCTACAGCATACTTTCAAATGCTAGTATATGTTGTAAAGGCAATAAAGGAAGTCCTACCATTGTATGTCACTCTGGGTTTAGTTAAACACAACACAAGGTGAAGATCCATCTCATCTGAGGCCAAAAACTTGGAGCACACAGGGCACTTGAAGCCTGGAAGAGAGAAAGACACCAGCAGTGAGTAAAACATGGAAGGTGGAAGATGAGAAAAAACGAATGTGCAACAGCATTAAAGTGGCAAACACTGAGTCTTTTCTTCTCTCCTCACTCAGCACAAGTTGGTGATGTGTTGTTGCATTTCATTTCCAGTTTGCCCAGTGCTGTGAAAGAGACTGCGAACACTCTTTTTCTGCCCAGACTGGGTAGAATGCATTGCTACAGCCAGTTCTTGACTTTACTGCAAAGAAACCTGCACTAGCAGAAGATTTCACCTAATAACGCATCACCAGACACGTTTCTGCACTAGATGACCAGTGTGTTAGAGCACACTGTGATGGTCGGTGCGCCTGATTATTAGAGAGGGGGTTGTAATCTTTCAGCAGTGACATATAGTTTCATACATTTGATTTATTTCTGTGCACAGACTGCTAGTTTTCATTACATCACTGCTCCCACCCAGGATTTAGTCCAACCTAAATTATTGCACAGACATACAGACATCACTGTTAGACTTTTACAGATATTTAAAGGCCATCCTTTACAAACACAGTAATAATACTGAATTGTGGGAGTGACCTGCAAACTGCTTTGCAGGGTTTTTTTCTTGTTATTGCTTTTCAGTTGCGGTACCAGAATGCTGCAGCATCATATTGTGGATGTATGAGTGCTGTTTATCTTTCTCTGAAAACAGAAACAAAGGTTTGATAAGACTGAAGTTTCCTGGCGCGAACACTAAAGCGGTAAGCTGAGAGGAACAGAAATGCTATTTAGAGCTCAGGAGAAAAGCACAGTTACTGTAGGTGATAACTCAACAGATAAATGAGTCGCAAGAGCCACACATGTATTTCAGTAATAACCCCACTTAATAATAATAATAATAATAATAATCATAATATTGATGGAACAAAACACTATTTGAAATAGCGAGGCCAATTGTTTGTTTGAGCCATGCACCGAAGACATTTGAGTGTGAGATTAAAGGATGTACACGAGGAAAGATTTGCTTTGCGTCACTTTGTGTGATTGGGTGAATGAGGCATGTTGTATACAGTGCTTTGAGTAGAGTAGAAAAGCGCTGTATAAGAATCAGCCCATTTACGATACGAGATTGTTTAATTATTAAGTAGCCCTAAATATCTATTCTCAGTTTAAACTGTGGCTTTCACATGTGACGACGGCATTTGTAATTAAAAAGGGCAGCAAGGTGAGAGAAAAGCTAAAGCTGTGCTGGGCTTGCAGCCCTGCTCTGTTTCCCCCAGTGTGACTGTAACACCAATGGAAGTTCAACTGAAGATTGGCTAAACTTCTGTGTAATATCACATGGTACCATGAGATAAGATGGTGCAGGATCAAAGAAAGTGGTTACATGGTGGCTTGGCAAAAAGCCAAAGGCCTATTAGGAGATATATATAATTCCCCTCTTGCCCTCTTCAAGCTCGGGTCCTCTACCAGAGGCCTGGGAGTTTGGGGGTCCTGCGCAGTATCTTAGCTGTTCCTAGGACTGCGCTCTTCTGGACAGAGATCTCACATGTTATTCCAGGAATCTGCTGAAGCCCCTCGCCCAGCCTCAGGGTCACTACCCCGAGTTCTCCGATTACCACGGGGACCACTGTCACCTTCATCCTCCACATCTTCTCGGGTTCTTCTGTCAGCCCTTGGTATACAGGACTTTCCTAACTCTCTGCAGGTATTTGGTGGTTGCAGCTTTCCTAGCAGCCTGTTCGTGGTTCCCATTTGCCTGTGGGATTCCCAGGTACTTGTAGCTGTCCTCAGTGTCTGCAATGTTGCCTTCTGGTAGTTCGATCCCCTCACTTCTGCCTATCTTTCCTCGCTTTGTTACCATCCAACTACACTTCTGCAGTGTGAATGACATCCAATGCCATTGCTGTAGGTCCTAGTGGTGTGCATGCGGGAATCGATGTCTCGGGTATGGGCAGCTTGCAGGTTCCCTTAGTACTGCCTTGCTCTTGGCCTCTAGTCTCCTTCTCCGTGGGGGGTACTCCTCCTTGTGGCTGTTCATCTTGTAGCCATTCATCACTGCTGCCATAGTGTAGATCAGCTGATTAGTCTCAGTGATGGTCGCAGTAAGGATTGTCCGTGATGCTGCATTCACATCTTCTAGTAGACCTTCAGAGAGTACGTCACGTAGCCTTGGTAATTGGCTACGGAGGGTCCAGGCTTCCAGCTTCGCCATGAGCCTATCTTTCAGTACTTGTGACTTGGTACCCAATCTCGAGTGGGGGTGATATTATCACTCCCCCTAACCTGATGTCCTTGCTCCCCCTTGCTGTAGCATTTGTGTTGCCCCTCAATGATCTGAATGTTGGAACACAGTGTTTTGCGGTCGGTCTCTGGGCACAGAAGATTCCAGAGTTGATGGGATTATTTTTATGTGGTGTATACAAATGCCAGGTGACTTCTGCTGCAATCAAACTTCCCCTCTGGGACAAATAAATGTCATTTATGTGCAATATGTGAACTGTGTAGCAGTGACAGCAGTGTTTACACACAGACAGCCATGGATTCAATCACTAAATGTATTAATAAATGATTAATCAGAGACAGTTGGAGGCAGATAATTACATAAATTATGCTGCATACTGTACATCACACTCCCCACATCCAGTAATTATCCCTTTGTTCCGACGTCCATCACAATCTTGCTGTCACAATCTCAGCGGAGACAGCAAATTCTGCAGTTTCCTGTCACATTGCAGATTTCCTCCTCCACTATCCATCAGCAGTTCTGCAGCAGGGGGCAGAGTGTGACATATCACAGCCAGGTGTGTGTGTGTTTGGAGCTTCCTACAATGTTAAAATCTGTCCAAAGGATAAATGGATTAAGGCAGGCAAAAAAGAACACTGTTAGCCTGACCTCACAACACATGCACAGTGTCATCTTTTAAGACCTGCTGGCCATATGCTGACAATTAGGCATGTACAGTCTAGGTGTGTCTATCTGAAATGGAGAAATGCGGATGGATCCAGCTCTGCACGGCTCCACCGCTCATTCTGAAAAATGCTCAAAGCCCGAGCTGAGCCCTCCCTGTGAGGCTGCGATGACTCATCCGCTATTCTATATGGGCTGCTCTCTCCACTACATTAAATTGCTGCACATGTCCTCGTGCGTGTCTTTCTGAGGTCATACCTGCTGTTGGTCGCATTAAAACTCTCAAACAATATGCCTCCTAGTATGAGGCGCACACACTGAAATAATGACATGAGTGTTATTTATAACCCTGTCCGATCTGCATCTTTTACTTTCCTGTAAAGTGCTGCAGTCACCAAAGTCACATGATGTGAAACATCTGTTTCCTCCAGATAGGAAGTTTGAAATTTCTGAATTCCCCAAAACAAACCAGAAGAGAAGTAGAATTTACATATATATATGTATATATGAAAAATCATCATCATCATTCAGATAAAAGGGTGTAAAACAGCTCTAACACGTTGTTTCTGCGTGCTGCTCCTGCTTAAAGCCACAGCACAACACTGCTGTAATACGGATGCCTGTAAATGTTAGTTTGTATGCTTTTTTCTTTCACTATCGTACGATATGTTTGGGGAAACTGTTCGACTGCTTTCTCTGATGAAACCCTCAAACTTCAGCTACTTTTCCTCTTTAGTTCAAATAAGACTGGATGACTTTGATCTTGAACACCCCCCCCCCACTGTGAAATATTTTACAGTGGACCCATTAGGCTTTACCTTTTTTGTTACTTTCACAGAGGTGGATGTTCATATTAAACATGGCAACATTTCAAATAATAAAGCCAGTGTACAATAATCCCTGTGGGCTCAGGCTTCACTGTTTTTTCTACTCTTGACTCTCTGTGATGTCAGAGAGAGGATAGCCTTAATCAGCTTTGTGTATCTTCTGTTATAAAGTCCTGATCTGTTACTAGTGTTTATTTAAAAGGTTGCATTTGTCACTGTGAGGAAGCTGCTTTATATTTAAGGCAACATCAGGCTTGACAGAAAAAATGCTCAAATAACTTTAAATAAATCCACCCAAGAGTCTTTATTTTCTGAATTTGTGCATTTACCTTATTGACTTAATAGATTTGCTCTTGTGTTATCACAGCTCAGTGTTTCTCCTGTAGCTGCTCTCCCTCATGTATGTGAGGTGAAATATGCCAGGTGAGGTGAAAAACCGACCAAATGTTAAGTTACACTGGCTGCAGTTAAGGTGTTGTCAGAGCTTTGCAGTTGTGTCATTTGACTTGACCACAAACATACAGTGGTTTGCAAAAGTATTGGGCCCCCTTGAACTTTCCCACATTTTGTCACATTACAGCCACAAACATGAATCAGTTTTATTGGAATTCCAGGTGAAAGACCAACACAAAGTGGTGCACACGTGAGAAGTGGAACGAAAATCAGACATGACTCCAAACATTTTTACAAATAAATAACTGCAAAGTGGGGTGTGCGTAATTATTCAGCCCCCTGAGTCAATACTTTGTAGAACCACCTTTTGCTGCAGTTCCAGCTGCCAGTCTTTCAGGGTCTGTCTCTACCAGCTTTGCACATCTACAGACTGAAATCTTTGCCCATTCTTCTTTGAAACAGCTCCAGCTCAGTCAGATTAGATGGACAGCGTTTGTGAACAGCAGTTTTCAGATCTTGCCACAGATTCTGGATTGGATTTAGATCTGGACTTTGACTGGGCCGTTCTAACACATGGATATGTTTTGTTTTAAACCATCCCATTGTTGCCCTGGCTTTATGTTTAGGGTCGTTGTCCTGCTGGAAGCTGAACCTCCGCCCCAGTCTCAAGTCTTTTGCAGACTCCAAGAGGTTTTCTTCCAAGATTGTCCTGTATTTGGCTCCATCCATCTTCCCATCAACTCTGACCAGCTTCCCTGTCCCTGCTGAAGAGAAGCCCCCCCAGAGCATGATGCTGCCACCACCATATCTGACAGTGGGGATGGTGTCAGAGTGATGTGCAGTGTTAGTTTTCCACACATAGCGTTTTGCATTTTGGTCTCATC